AATGATATGAGATATAGGATCGGTATTGGAAAGATAGGTGAAAAGTGACTTTAAGCGCCAATACGTCCAGCTATCTCCGATATTTGAGCTCAAGCGGCTATGAGAGCCGTTGATTAGGTAGTTTGTATATATAATTCTTATAATTATATATATCTACAGGTAAACACTACGCTCATATAGTTCTGATAACTATAGGGGCAGTTTGATGTACTTCACTAGAGCTTATATCTAACACTTGTGATAGGGTTGGCTAATGGCCCGTGATTTGAGTCTGCCGCGGGTCAGAAATAAATGCCCGGGCGACGTTTTACCGTTCTTTTATATATAAGAGGTAGGTTAGGTTAGGTAGAAGTCTTAGCCGGATATTTGCATCACTTCACACAAGTGTACCTCGACGACATTATTGTATACAGCAAAACCATCCAAGAGCATAAAGACCATCTACGGCTCGTGCTAGAGCGTATGCGACAACACCAATTACAGATATCTCCTGAGAAATGTTCACTAGCGACCGGCGAATTAGAGTACCTCGGACACCAGATACAAGGAACTATTACAAAGCCTTTAAATAAGCACCTACAAGCCATCCAGGACTTCCCGAAGCCTAACACCAAGCGTCAGTTACAGAGCTTCTTGGGTATATGCAACTGGATCAGAGAATACGTCCGCGACGCCGCTCATTTAACTAAGCCACTCACTTGCCTGCTAAAGAAGAACCAGAGGTTCAACTGGACTCAAGAATGCCAGGACGCATTCGAGAAACTCAAGTCCAACGCAGCGCAGCCGCTTCAGTTACACAGGCCTGATTTCAGCAAAAGATTCTTCCTACAAGTGGACGCCTCCCGAATGGGACTGGGGGCGATCTTATTTCAGAAATCGGAGGACGACAGGTTAATAGTATCCTACGCTAGTGCCACTCTAACGCCCGCAGAACAAAAATACCACGTGAAAGAATTAGAGGTCTACGCCGCTATATTCGGCATCAAGAGATATCAAGCATACCTAGCCGATAGCCAATTTACCCTCATAACAGATAGCAGATCGCT